AAAAAAAAAAAAAAAAAAAAAAAAAAAAAAAAAAAAAAAAAAAAAAAAAAAAAAAAAAAAAAAAAAAAAGAAGAAGAAAAAGAAAAAAAGAAAGAAAGAAAAGAAAAACAAGACTTCCATCAAGCTCAGCATGTCTATCATATTGCACAACTTTCGCAGGCTCTTTGTTCTTCCCTCCAAAAGACCACTTTTGTACATTGAAATCACCACCTAATCACCAAAATCCTTTCTATCTCTGTGATCAGGTGGCTCTTTTGTAGTCCTCTTGGCTTGATGGGAAACCCTCATCTCCACTTTTTGTAGCCTCTTTTTGATACAGAAAGTATTGTTTCTTATAATTTTTTTTTTAATAAAAAATCTCTATTATTGGGAGTGCCATAAATATTGGACCCCTCAATTCCTTCCTCATTACCAGTTTCATTTATTGGACCCCTCTAAACCTTCTACTTCAATGTACTCTGTTTCATTTTGAACTCTATACAAATTTCACCATTTCTCTATAAACTATTCAATTTGATCTCTTTCAATAAGAAAATGTCCGAATTCACATATGACAGAGAAGAAATAAAATGTCTACACAGTGTTGGATGATGAAAGTCCCACATCGGTTAATTTAGGGAATGGTCATCGGTTTATAATCTAAGAATACACTCTCCATTGGTATGAGGCCTTTTGGGAAGCCCAAAGCAAAGCCATGAGAGCTTATGCTCAAAGTGGACAATATCATACCATTGTGGAAAGTCGTGTTCATCTAACATGGTATCAGAGCCATGCCCTAAACTTAGCCGATGTGGGACTTTCATCATCCAACACCTCCCCTCGAACAAAGCACGCCTCCCCTTAATCGAGGCTTGACTCCTTTGGTATGAGGCCTTTTGGGAAGCCCAAAGCAAAGCCATGAGAGCTTATGCTCAAAGTGGACAATATCATACCATTGTGGAAAGTCGTGTTCATCTAACATGGTATCAGAGCCATGCCCTAAACTTAGCCGTGTCAATAGATTGGCAAATTCTTAAATGTCGAACAAAGGACTCCAAAAGGAGTCAAGCCTCCTCGAAGGTACGAAGGCAGTCAAAAATGACTAAGACTCCAAAGGAGTCGAGCCTCGATTAAGGGGAGGCGTGCTTTGTTCGAGGGGAGGTGTTGGATGATGAAAGTCCCACATCGGTTAATTTAGGGAATGGTCATGGGTTTATAATCTAAGAATACACTCTCCATTGGTATGAGGCCTTTTGGGAAGCCCAAAGCAAAGCCATGAGAGCTTATGCTCAAAGTGGACAATATCATACCATTGTGGAAAGTCGTGTTCATCTAACATGGTATCAGAGCCATGCCCTAAACTTAGCCGTGTCAATAGATTGGCAAATTCTTAAATGTCGAACAAAGGACTCCAAAAGGAGTCAAGCCTCCTCGAAGGTACGAAGGCAGTCAAAAATGACTAAGACTCCAAAGGAGTCGAGCCTCGATTAAGGGGAGGCGTGCTTTGTTCGAGGGGAGGTGTTGGATGATGAAAGTCCCACATCGGTTAATTTAGGGAATGGTCATCGGTTTATAATCTAAGAATACACTCTCCATTGGTATGAGGCCTTTTGGGAAGCCCAAAGCAAAGCCATGAGAGCTTATGCTCAAAGTGGACAATATCATACCATTGTGGAGAGTCGTGTTCGTCTAACACACAGAAGCTAAGAAATTCAAGTTCTATGAAAATATTAATACAATAATGAATAAATCAAAGATTGGCATGATAATGAAGAAACTCACACATTTTTTAATCACAACTACCCAACTAATAAAAAATAATGAAGATGCTCATTCCTCCTGTCTCCATTTGGAACAGCCTTAACATGGATGATGGAAAAAATAAAAATGCAGCACTTACATAAACATCGTACATCCATTTTGTAGTCTTCTGCATCGTTCTTCCAACTCATCAGTTGTTCGTTCTAAAGAAAATATCTAAAAATAATTGGAAGATAAAACAAAAGGTAAGGAGAGTTATCTGATTGCCAAATGATGTAAAATCTAAGTTCTACAAGAAGAGCTTCCAAAGGGGAACAAACACAATTTACTGTAAGAATTTTGAGGAAACGCTAATACTAGTGCAGGGGCAAGAGATTGAGAACGTGCAAAGTCAAGAGAAACTGGAACATCCTTATTCTTATTTCGATTCATGAAAATTAAATGTTCCCATCCAGAGCTGGAGAGTAGAAGTCATTCACAAAGCAATATAAGTTCTACAATATTTAACATTAACAGCTGTCAACTGTGTCAACTTTCAAAATACGGCTTCCACTCAAAATGAGCCGTGGAAGAAGATAGACAAGTTTATAAGCACCAATAACAAAAATATGAAGGACTGCAAACAAGCAAAAGGAGAAGCATTCACGATTTTTTTTTTTTTTTTTTTTTTTTTTTTGACTCCTCAAACTCCATAGTTTCGCCTAAAAGCAATCATATTCGGCCTTCGGGTTTCGAGTTTAGCAGAACTAGTAGCTGACCAGATTTTTAACATTACAGCCCATTGGCAACTAAAAGGAGAAAACAGTGTATCGATAATCCTTATTCGATAAAAACAAGAAAAAGAAAATGCCAAGTCCGCAAAGGTAAACGGACGCCAGACGAATACAAAAGCAAGGTCATGTACAAACAACAGAATCAAATCTTTCCAGAGTAGAAAGAAATTACTACAGCTGCACATAGGACAGAAAACAAGCTCGCAAGCGAAACCAATTCGTCGCTAACCACAAATCCAGCAACCTGCGGAATTTGACAGGAACATACAAACAAGAATCGAGCAGTTGGATCGATAAAAGGAAGGAACCTGTTTCAAGAACATGGGAGAGTCCTCGAGTTTGATAAACGTCCCCATTCCGACGGTGGGTTGCGTATGTGAGAGCGCAAAATCTGCCGGTATGTTTTTGCGTCTTGTTTAGCAGGTGAGAGTATGATGAGATTCAGCCATGGCGATAGGGAAGAAACGAGGCTTCCATTATTGTGCACGTGGAGGGCTCCTTGGTCATTATGGCCAACAAAACAAAGCCCCAGCTCACCCTTCCAAATGTCCTCCCTTTTCCCATTATTTGTCAATTATTTTCACATTCACCAAAATACCCCTCTACCTCACCCCACTGACGGCATCCCTTTTTCTTAATTTTAAAATTCAATACAACAATAATAAATATATCTTAATTATTTTAGAATTTTAATTATAAATAAAAATTAGTGCGACACTAGCAACTATAAAAGGCTAAGATAGTTGGCTAAATTAACTATAAGGGTGTTGAACGACTTGGATAATATAGGTGGTGGGCTAATTATATATGTAAAGCCCAAATTGATGTGGTTGATATTTTAAATGGATCACATCCATCTAAAACGAGTTGTAGTTTATCGCCTTGGTCCACTTTTTTATTTTTTTATTTTATTTATTTTATTATTATTAATTATTATTTTGTCTTGCATCATTTCATCGATTTTAAAGTTGGTCGTTTGAATATGCCTGCAGGTTGGTATTACTTGCATAGAGTGATGGTGACCATCTTCCATTTGCTCAAAAAACGTTTTATGCCAAATTTGAAAGGGTTTTACGTCCAACCGATAATCAAGTAATAGTAATGAAGAAATTGTTTGTTCTGCATGTCTTTCACAATCGGGTTGTTCTAGACCAAAATACACTATAAAGGTGGAAAGATCCCAATAAAAAATTTACCAAAATTTGAAATAACCCAAACTTTGAAAAAACCAAAAGTAGTTCCAAATATACCAAAAATTGTTTAAAAAAAAAAAAACCAATATTTATCGTACAACAACCATGAACGAACTAGTCTTTTAAAAAACCTATTGTAACTTGATTTTGTATGCAATAGAGTATTATCCTCCACAGCGAATAACCCATAACTAATTTTACTAAATCCGTTAGCTTGAACTAAGCAGGATGACATTTAACCATACATCCAATAAATTCAATTAAAACTCAACAATGTGGATTCCATCCAAACGTCTTCTTTCACTTTACTCTTCAGCCTCAATGCTGTGTGACCTGAAAATTGTATTATTTGGAGGTGTCAGTTTGCTCGTTTAAATAAAAAAAAAACAACGGTGAAAAGTAGTATTACAACCTCATGAACAGCGTCCACGGCCTCAATTAAATCCATGAGGGAAAATGGGGGAAGCAAACGAACATGTCTTCAAACAAATCCACTCCGATTAAGTTCCTACAAAGACCCAACAACAAGCGTCAAAATTTAGCTAACTCAAATACATTAAAGAACTAAATTCATACTAACTCCAAACCTTCTTTCCTTTCCTCTCGAGAGGATGACCCAAAATATATGAAACAAAATGTAACTAGTGGCAACCAAGTGAAAGATGCATACCTCATATTCATCATCTTGATGATATCACTGAAAACTGCAAGGATCGGCCACCTTGAAGTTCAATTATTCCGTATCAAGAAACATCTTGACATCCTGAAACATCACGGTGTCAGATTTATCTGCTTTATCCAAGAAACATTGCTACCTTATCTTTCAGGCTGCTCTTCTTCTTCATTACTGAGACCACATCTCCAACATTTTCATTATGCCTTTGATTTTGACTCTTTAAATCACAAGAAAATTGTACATCAGTTGTAACAAATTTGGGTTGCTCATTCTCTACAGACTTCTTAAGCAAAGGACCCAAAAATAAATTCAGCATGTCCTTAGCAGGATCTCCCGTTGTCCTCACACCTATATCAATCTTTTCACCACCTGAAATTGCAGTTGAATCAAGAGGAATTGAAGTACTAAGATCCACAGAACTCTGCTTATTATCATTATTAGTATTAAAAGATCCTTCAGATTGGTTCCTGGCGTGGCATGTTCTTGGATTTATGCTACAAGATTCACGTTCTCCATGCAATTCGTGTTTATGGGCCCTATCCTTATCAGCTTCAACATACTGCATGCAAATGAAAATAATTATATCTCTGAAAACAAGTTGTCAGTTTCAACAAACTGCATGCAAATGAAAATAATTATATCCCTGAAAACTAGTGGACAGTATATTAAAAGCACAAATAGTTGAACACCAAACATGTTTTCATTTTTTTTTTTTTTTTTTTTTTTTTAAAAAAAAAAAAA